AGTATCATGTTAAGAGCGCCAGCCTGACGCCAGACTGGTCTAATCACGGCAGATCAGCGCCAGGGACTTAATACATATACTTACGAGCGACTCCACGAGGCGACTCTCCAACGAACAACTCGCCCCGACAATTTACCCTCAAGTGATGACCCCGACGTGATCTCTCAACCAACGTGATCTTTCAACCGACGGGATCTTTTAACAATTAACATACTGTAGTATAACAACCCCAGGTTAGATCGAAAAAAAAATATAAACGTAGTTGTGGCCAAAAATATGTGATCGTCATAAGGGATACCTACGTTGTATACATCAATTTTTAATTTACCGGAAGGCGCTGGCTACTAACTTTAAAGAGGGGAAGTATGTTTTAATTTTATAAAAACAAAAGCAGAGTAAATACACCTAACTTTATTATTTACGTACAACAGTCTTCAAATTAAACATGTGACAAATAGAAAGAACAACAAAAACATTAACAACCATTTAACATAAAATGAGAGTGCCAGGCTCACCTAGAGCTCCTGTGGGGAAAGAGCATGGCAGAGAAACCCACGATCGTTGCTCTAACTACCCAAATATAAATACAAAACAACCCAAAACAAAAGGCATAAATTAAGATCCTTTGCTAATGATAAAATAAGACCTGACTCATTTAATGTCTCACTAAATGTCACCTCACCCGAATTAGACATACACACTTCCAAGTAAAACTGAAGAGGTTTGGTGTTAGTTAGCCGGCAGGGACGGAGGGTAATAATAACAACAATAATAACAACAACAGTAACAACAATAATAACAATGTTAATAATAACAATAATAACAATAATAACAATAATAACAATAGTAATAAGTAAGTTACTGGAGTCCTATACGGGAGGCAATTCAGCTATGTGTTGAGATTTCGGAAGATCTGTTTTAGCAATTATTTTTTTTGTTTTTAATTATTCTTTTTACAGATTCATTCCTCACGGGCGAAAATGTTAGTAAATTGAACAAAGCTCTTATATGCGTATGACATAAAGTGAGCACAAGAAATGCTTTCTTAGTTGTTTTTCGAACAACGTAATCATGACAAAACAAGTTAAATGTGAAACAAAGAAGTTGTTATTGCAATATCCGGGCAGTCACGACAATATATACATATTTTAACATGTAATAAATAATGAGCAATCTTTAATAATAATTGTAACAATTTTACGTTAGAAAAATATACGCCCCTGAGCATAAGACAAGGCTAAACATATACAGAATTATCATCATGAAACGTCTATAATCATCACAATCATAAGATTACATAGAACAATTAACAACAAAGCACTTAGAGAATCTTACCTGCTAACTAATACCGGTTAAACACTTTTGATTTTTCACTACTTATATATTTTCACCGTGCACCGATCGTCGTACTTTTCACTCTGCGCTCTCCTCACTTCAACTATTTAGGCTTACTTCCAGAATTCCTCACCTAAGCGTTTGTGTTTGTGCTTCCTTCTACCAACTGTCAATATTACGTTTTCATTATTAAGTAACACCCATGTAACAGGTGACGTCGAAGTTGATACGATAAGTATGGTTTTGCACAATACGTGATCTTTCAACCGACGTGATCCTTCAACTCTCAACAATATCAAATTGAAGAAAAAATACCAATTTTAATGAACTAATTCCTTTATCAAAAATATTTCATTTCCTAATTAATGAACATTTTCATTTTCGTTGGGATTCAAGGAAAGTACTCCATTGTAGTGGATTCTATGTAAACTATATGAATGTGGCGCGCTGTCGAGATCTATTTTGATACGTTGGAATCATCCGTTTGCGAATCTGTGAAACGGCCGTTCATGATTGATTGTAAAGCAACTTTATATCATTAATGTTTCATATACAACAATAAACACCTAATTAGTGAAACTAAAACCGAGACCGAGAGGTCAATATATAGATCTATGCATTACTGCTGAATAGTCATTTGCTGTTTGAGTTTCGGTGAGAGCGGTTGCTTTTGATACGTTGCGGTTGCGATCCAATTTACGTCCTTTAGGTATGGATGGCCGCCAGAGATCGGTCTATAATTATCCTTCAGTTAATCGGTATCACAAATAGGGTTGTTTGAGCTCGTGACAGATACTGAATGGGGCGAATTTATACCGTACGATTCTTGTCAGTCGACGAAGGAAATTGAAATATCGAACGGGATCGCTGGTTTTTGATCGAATGGCGGGGTGTGTTGGTAATCGCTAGGGAAGGAGATTGTGGTTTTTGTGGATCTTAATCAGTTATTTAAAAGACCAACATGGCGGAATCAATCTTTAGATATTTTAATGTCTAGCTGCGGGATGCCAAAAATGGCAACACATTATCTTTGTTACTCTCAAAGGTAATAAAAAAATATGGATGCCATAGAAATGACTAAAAACAGAGTGGCACCGATGCAAAAGCAAGAACTAAGTCAATTTTATTAAAATATTGGATTGGTTTTTTTCTACTTTGTTTAAATAGTATTATGTAAATTGAATTATTATACAGGGTGGCCCAATTAAAACAGACCACCTGAAATATTTTCAATGCAACAGGTTTTTCCAGAAAACCCCGAAACAAGTCGATTTTGCTTTCAAGGGGGACATCTTTTGATCATAAATTCATGGATGTAGGCTCATCCCCTTAAACGGGGTGACAACCCCTTCAAGAATCTTATAAGGCACGGGGGGTAAGTGGCACATCATTTTAAAGGTATTTCAATTCTCTTTACAAACATGCTGAAATTTTTTTGTTCTGCTTTAAAAATGTAAAATGTAAAAGACCTGTTGAAAGTGTCGCTGAAATAAATCGAAAAAATGATTAAAAATAGTAATAAAAAATTCACCAGAAACTGTAAAAAATTAGGTTTATAATCGAAATCTTGATAAGGGGGTGGATTTTATTAGAATTTTACATGTAGTCTTGTTCCAATTTTACATCAATCAGAATTGTCTAGGTAGTGAAATCCATTGATTTGTAGACATTTTGAAGCGAACGATTCAAATTATCAGGGTTTACATCCCTGAGAATCTCAGCCATCTCTACGGAATAAATTTAATATCTAAATTCATGGAGACTGGATTCGTTGCTAACAAAAAACATGAAAGGCAACACATGTTACTGACGAGGTTGCAATTTTGGGACATGTTGAACTGAATTCTTCAAGCACCAGAAAATTAGAGGCAACTTTAGGAATTTCACGTAGTAGTCTTCAGAAGTCCTTGAAAAAGCATCAGTTCCATCCCTATAAGGTTAATCTCATGCAAGAGCTCAACGAAGATGATCCAGATCGGCATATACAATTTTGTGAACAGATAGTGAAAAAATTTTGAACAATCCCAATTTTCTATATTGTACATGCTTTTCTGACGAATGCACATCCTTTCTTAAAGGTTACTTCAACAGAGTTAATTGCAGATACTAAAGTGATTCAAATCCTGAAGTTATGAGAGTAGTAGTCAGTATTGTTGGTCCATTTTTTCTACCTGATAACTTGATGGGTGGATCTTACCTCAATTTGCTTAAAGACTTCATCTACCCTCGCATTGTGGAGATTCTTGAAAATGACGATCAGATTCCAGAGAATGAGTATTTTTTCAACAGTATGGCGCTCCGCCACACTATGCAGCTGCTGTACGTGACTTTTTGAATCAACATTTTCCCGAACACTGGATTGATAGGCCCCTAAGATCGCCTGATTTAACACGATTGGACTTTTTCTTATGGAGTCATTTAAAAAGTGTTATTTTTAAAACGAACCTATCTCTTTAGAAGATCTTCGTCACCGAGTAGTGGTAGCATGTGATGAAATAACCCCTAAAATGCTACAAAACGTTCGGGAAAATGTTGAACAAAGGTTTCATTACTGTATGGAAGTAAATGAGTCGTAATTTGAACACTTAATTAATTAAAACTTGTTTGAAAACAACTTCTTTTCCGATTTATTTCACCGACACTTCCAACAGGTTATTTACATTAATTTTAAGACAGAACAAAAAAATTTCAACATGTAAAGAGAATTGAAATATCTTTTTGTTTTAATTAGACCACCCTGTATGTAGCAGCAGTTTGGGAATCGACTTTGTCTAAGACAACAATATGCGTTTTGAGTGGACTTGGTTTTTCGGTAACATGACGAACATGTTATTCTAACTAGTATCAGTTACAATTTAATTTTTTTCTTAAAAGTGTATCATTATACGAGTAGGACGAGCGACTTCCTAAAAGCTGATTAAGAGATAGTTCTCCCAATAGGGTGTGGATTTTAAATTTTTTGACACTGTAACAAGATGTGAGATAAATATGCATACATCCCATGATTGTTTCTTACTTTCTAACTAGTAATGGCGTAAAAAAATTAATCTATAGTTTGAAGGAACATTTTCATGGTTGGAAGTTTAAATATCAAAATGACAATAATGGCAAAATTGTTTCATGTCTCTACTCAGAAGCTATTTTTGAAGGTGAACTAGGTGCATTATAGAGAGAGAAGCTGTGCCAAAAAATTAGATACTAAACTGTGCGGTATTCAAAATCAAAATTTCCTAGGTTTTAAAATAATAATTGCATCTTGAAGACAATTAAATACCATAGCTTATTTTCAAATGTAATAATTTACACCCCTTTTCCTAAAAACTAAAATGTCATATAAAAAATTTAAAAAGCTGCTGGTTTTGAACAAGATAAAACTGAAATATGGGTTCTTGGTGCATTAATTAGACCAAAAGGAATTGCATTAAATTCATAGCGTTGCCCTGAAATAATAAAAGCTGTCAATTTAGTAATGGATTAACTCTATTAGCGATTGTATTTAATTATAATTTCTCTTTTAATAACCTTCTTAATTCTGCTAATAATTTAGATTACAAATAAAACGGATTAATTTCCCTATATGGTATACCTGGTATATTAGTTCTAGTGGGTACAAAATAACAATAGCAAGATTTGAAAAAAAGAAACAAATGACGTTATCATCTTACCCACTGTAGCTCCCAGTTTTGCTCTCAAACCTGACGAAAAGAGCATTTCCAGTCGACACAAAATCATGTTTCTCCATGGCTTTGGAAAAGGTATCACAGAAAGTTTTGATAATTTTCGAGTCATCCGGCCAGGACGCGTCATACAAGGTGAGGGACTCGCCGCAGTCTCCCTCTATGGGTTGGATCGGGGACTCTATCCTGTTTATCCTGAAACTAAATAGAAATTCGAAATCATTATAATAGAAACTAAATGGCTGTTTTTGCACCAAATTTACGTCATTCTCGTAAAATAATAATAAACCTCTCCTTTATCATCTAAATCCAATATTAAAGTTTGAAATTGTTATGTTTCTCTCGGTTGATATATTGACTTATATGGCACTATTAAATCTGCAATTCAATTTAGATCTTTACTATCATGTCAGCCTCACTGAACTGACATAAAATATATAAATTTTATTATTAATAGTAAAAAGCTTTGTACGTACATACCAACTTTCTATTAAAATGGTTATATTTCAGGTAGGCAACCAATAATACTTTTCCTGCAATATTGATTTCATGTTATTATGCGTCGTAGCATTCAAATGGCTATATAAAATCGCTTCAGACGATCTTTTATGAAGGTAATGAACATGAATTGAAGATTGCTATAATGCAATAATAAAATGTAACATTATGCTTTACCTCGATGTTATGTAAGTTTAATGTTCAATGTTATTTCCTAGAGAGTAACAACACTGTACATTACAAATATTCATGTAATTTTTTGCACTTGTTACAGTGATATGAATACAATTATCCAAATATAATTTCCATTAAATTTAAAATTAAATTACAGTGGACATATCTATAATCTAGAACCCAAATGGTGTCGATTGGGTGTAGCAACACTGGCAATTAAAAAAAATGACCTTTTCGAGCGATTTTTCCAAAAATTACCCGTTTCCGAAATGCGCATGACTTTTGAGGCACACTGTATATCTGTGTGATTAGATAAGATAAAATATAATCACATTGTATCTAGATAATTTATTAAGTTAAAAAAAACCTAAATCATATCCCCTAAGAGTTATCTCTTAACAAATTTTGCCGTTTAGATACAAAACAATGATATCATCATATCATCTAGATAAGATAAAAGATAAATATGTTTTATCTAAACAATAAACGCAAGTGAAATACTGTAGATGACATAGTATTAGATTCATTTTTTATCGAAATTCACGTTTTAGATAAAGGATAAAAAGGTATTTAATATATTTCGATAAGGTGATATACGATCAATTGAATTGTCACCTAGGTAAGATAAAACTCGATGAATACAGATAAAAACAATTCATCTAGACTAGATGAAATAATATAGATAATGTAGAAAGTAGAACTAACCCTTTTCTAAATTCATCCATTAGATGAGATTAAAGATAATTTATTAAATTATCGTCTAGATAAGATAAATCAAAATAATTCAGTTAGATATTTAGAAATTAAGACAGTATCATCTTCAATGTACTTGTATTTACGAGATATTCCTGAACATCTATCCGTAATGATGTATTTGATTATTCTTTCCTATGTTTGTTGAGAAATTATTTATTAAATTTTTTTGTAGGGTACTGAATTATTCTTTTTATTTTATTTATTAATGATTTACCTCTGTCTCTAAAATCTAATCATCAGTTTTTCGCCGACGACTTAAGGCTGTTTCAGAACGTACGTAATTTGGAAGATTGTTTAATACTGCAAGAGCAGGTAGATCTTGTAAGTAGATGGTGTGAGAATAATCAATTACCTATTAATATAGATAAGTCTATGGTTTGTTCATTATTCACATTCAAAAAAGAACCGTAAATATTTAACTACACCCTCGAAAATGCGTTACTGACACGTTGCAATAATGTTAAGGATTTAGGTGTAATACAGGGTGTTTTCGGATGGAGTAGCATAAATGATACCAGTGAATCTACATTTCAAAAGAACACGATCTGCAAAAAAATCGCCTTAGTAAAATGTTCACCCCTGAAGAGATATGGGCCATCAAAGTTCCCAAAAAAATTATGAAAATTGGCTGTAATTTGAAAACCGAATGTGGTACAAATAACAAATTTTTTACAGGTTGTTTGCTAATACAGATGCGAGTTTTCAACTATTTTTCGAAAATTTTAACCCCTCGAAAGGGGTTGAAATAACCACCCCTCAAGCCATTTTTTGCCATAACTTTTATATTTCGTAAAAACTCGATATCCAAAAATACGCATTAGATAAACTGGTTCTTTTAGAAACTTTTATCTCTCTAGCAATTTTCCTTTAAAACTTTTCGTTTATTAATAAAAAAATAAAATGTATTACCATTCACCTCACACCGTATATGATTGCAATCAATCA